TTTACATTGAAGAACGCCTTCTTTCGAAAGAGGAACTTTCGAAAGAAGGCGTTCTTCCTCATGAAACGAGGTTTACCGCCATCGAAAGAAAAGCCGCGTTCTTTTGAAATAATTTCGAAAGAACGCGGCTTGAGTCTGGACGCAGGGGAAGTTTTTTCGGGAAAAGGCTACTTTTCCCGAAAAAACCCCTGAGTCTGGACACGGCCTAAGTGTAGTACTTGGAATTTGTCCTTATTAAACTTCATCCTATTCTTCTCATATTCAGTTTGTGTCTTCATATAAGTCTCAAATCCTTCTGCTCAGTGCTGCTCATTTGTTATTGCTCATTTGTTTTCTACCTAAGTATAATATTATGGATTTTGGACCAATTCCACAACTTTTCAAGATCATTTTGAATTCTAATCCTATCCTCTGAAGTGCTTGCAACCCCTCAGCTTGGTGTCATCACAAATTTTATAAGCATACTCTCCACTCCGTTATCTGAGAATGACAATATTGAGTAGTGCCAGACCCAGGATAGACTACCCGGGCACTCCGCTTCATTCCCCTTTGTTGTTAATATAGTCATTAAATATCTGGTTATAATTTATCATTTTAGTGAAAAATGATTTCATTATTAGTAATCATTAGGAATCTGAAAGAAAGTTTACTATAATACAAATTCTATGGAATTTGGATGGGGAAGGGTTAGCAACCAAAAATATAGATTTTGGTTGTATTTCTTTCTTCAACTTACTTATAAAAACTTAAACATGGATTCCCTGGCTTTTGAATAGGAAAGCAGGCTCTTTCAGTTCTACTCACTATTAATTTTGGTACACTTGCCTTGGAAAAACAAGGAAAAAAAACACTTTTTTAAAAATTAACACAAATCTTAGCACTAACAAATGCCAAGATTTGTATGCTAAACTTTATTGCTCAGTTGCCTTGCTTTAACAGGGCAACCTCCAAAAACAGAAAATAGCACTAGTCTCTGAAGGGAGAGGAGGAAGGGGTTTCCGGTATTTCTATAAGCCTCTTGTGAAAATACTGTTGCTACTACTTTTTTCTTTCATAAATATTTAGCTAGCGACAGGCTGATGAAGTCATCAGGAGTCTTCCTGCTAGAATGGACTGCGGTTTGTCTTTGGCTTTTAAAAACGGTGTGCCCCCCAGTCTACTAGTCAGCTGGGAACTCTTTTCTTCTATGACATCTTATTTTCCAGCCTCTGACCTTACCCACCCACCGCAAGTGACACGATGTTTCTTTTTCACTTTTGTACAGCAAAATTCGCTGCAGCAGTCATCAGCATTAAAAGGGGCAAGGGGG